AGGTATCATTGAACATTGTAATGGAAGCTCTAGTAACAACTTTAAATATTGTTGTAGAAGAACTGTGGCAAATAGATGTAACCAGTATAACATTTTGTTATTTTCTCTACAAATATGTATTTACATATCAATGTGTACAAATTTATGGTCAATGTGCTTTTGTGTTATACCTAACGTGACCATACGTCCCACTTTGAGCGGGACAGTCCCGCTTTTAGGCTTCGTATCCCGCTGTCCTCGAAATACTTAAACATGTCCCGCTTTGACAAAACATGACACACGTGACAATAAATTTAAAAGAATGGCGCGAAAGCATAGCAGCAAGTAAGCCATATCGCCCGCGCCTTTTACATTGTCGTGTTTATGGCGGGAATGAATCTCGGGCCCATGGAACGTATTTAACAACTAAACGTGACAAATGAAAGCATTGCTCCTCCAAAATAATTAAAAGAAGCCCATCAGACAACACAAGATAAGTTCCTGTTTTAATTTTGAATCATTAAATATTTTTAATTCTTTTTAACGTTTCGTAACTATCATAAGCATGTGTTTTATTTTTAAAACAATATTAAATTTACAGGCGTCCCGCTCTGAGGGAAAAAAACATGGTTACTTAAGAACCTACGCGCGTCTGTATTTTGATGAGATTTTAATTTTAGTTTTGTTTGTTAATTTCAGTTATTTTTTTTAAATGAAACACGAAAACTCCAGTGGATTATTTAAGCTTCTTGCTTTTGCAACGCGATGTTTGCGCGCTTTTCAATCGATTCACACAACAGCGCGTTTACGGCTGATACAAAATAAGCCTTGTGTATAGGCTCTTAGTTATGCCCTATGATTGTAAATATCTCTTAGTTATATATACCCCATGATTGTAAATATTTGTCTCTGCTTGAATTTGTGCTGAACATGGGCCAATAATTCATGATCACAGCTAATCGCGATACAAGTCAGTGTAGATAGGAACATCCATCTATAAAACTATCGACAACAAGTACATCACTATTTAAAATATTAACAAAACTGGCAACCCTGCAAATGCCATTTTATTCCTTTAAACAAGACAAGACAAGTTTGTATGTTACACAACTGAAATAAGGTTCATTATGGTTACAAAAATTTGCTTCAATTACAGCACTGTAAATTGAACCTTAAACGTTGGAGAGTAAAAGTTATTTAGTTCTACGTACCGTCTTTGTCCAAAATTGCAAGTACAGTATGTGACCTAAGATACCTGACCGGGGTGGTCCCGTCTATTTGGTTCTAAGTAGGTCAGTGTGATGAAATGTTAAACAAACTTAACCTCTGAGCAGTAACATTCATATTGGTGTGACTTTCTTATTGCATCATTACTGAACGATCTTTAATTACATTAAATAACATAAATTTCAACCAAAAAACGGTAATTCCTTTCCACATTTCTGTAGAATGCGTAAAAAGGATCTCAGAACCAAAAGGTCAATGTCAAAGGGAAAACCGGTCAGGTATCTTAGACCATCTACTGTACTTTTGAACGATTATTAAAAATTATACAAAATAAGACCACAGTTAATAAAAATAAGGCACAAAATTTCCTTAATCTATATTTAAAAGCTATATTTATAAACAAATGCAAATTTGTGAAATGCTTGAAGGTCGTAACATTTTCATGATTTTGTTGCATTAGAATTTGATTGGAATGTTTTTTATTACAGCTTGTAGTTTGTGACACTGAAAATGTTGACAGCAATATTCGTCTTTCCCATAAAATATTCTTTCTCAAACATGATTGGAAATATTAAAATTAATTTTAAAAAGAACACACTATAGACCGTACAACTCTGCAGCCTAGCCGGAAAAGTAAGTATGAAACAGTGTTGCCAGACTTTTGCGAAGTTAATTCGCCAATTTACGTGTGTTAACTAGCCGATATTCGCCCAAGCCATAAAATCCCTAAAAAAACTAGGAAAACAGTTCTATAATTCTGCTTGCTGCCGAAAATTGGGGAATATGAACTCTCTTATTTCCCCAATTCCTCACACGGAGAAATACTCAAACACCCAAATGAGTTGTTCTACAACTCCATTCCCCACAAAATACCCAATCAAGTTTGTAATTCCCCAGTCTTTTCATTTGTGTTTTCCATCCGTTACTCTCATCTCTGGGCTGTATTCGCACTTTCCATCAGGCGCGGTGCAGTCATTTTGCCGAGTCACAATAAAATAACAAAAAAAGTCATTTTTTTAGGTAGCCTAAAATCACCTTTTCCTACTTCAAACATAGCCTAAATATCGCCGAGTCGCCGATAACATTTTTAGTCGCCGCACAACCCCTCTCAAAAGGGAATCTGGCACCACAGGCATGTAAGGCCTTTTCTAATGACTGCTCTAAACTTTTAAATATATCTACACAGAGTATACAACCATTTATTTAACTTTTCGATTCATACGTAGAACAAAGACCTATATGCAAGACTGCTTATTCTCAGACACTACATTTTTATCGTTGTTCTACGCTGTAGATATCAGATCGACCGTTGTTCAATTTTATATTTCCGAAATGAAATAACATATAAAAATTCTGAAATTCCTACAGATAGGCCTTAGTTTCAATATCGATATTATGGATTTATCCTCGTTCCGCTGTATAATCACATCGGACTCTGTTCTTCGGATGAGTGGTTTTGACAGTTCGAATTTTAATCATTTAGTGATGTCCTAATGAGACTTTTTACAACAATCCATTTTATTTAGGAAGAAGTCTTAATCGTGAATATGAGCGTGTCAAAAAGAAGACATTGTCTGATTGGGATCGTGATGTTGCGTTTGACGATTTGTGTACTCAAATATTAATACATAATGTTAATGATGATTTAAATTATGTTTCCCGTTCATATGGAGAAGAATCAGACGATTCATTATAACAAACAATAAGAAATTATTATAATTATTTATATATTTCATTTCATTATAATTTATGAGACGCGTACCAAAATTTATCAACTTGAATAATCTTCGTTAATATGTTGGCTCGATAAATATCGGAGCTGAAGAGCACGTCGCTTCACTTAAATTAAAAAATAAAAGAGTCCAGGAAGTATTGAAGTTATTTATCTACGGTTGTATATGAATAATTACGGAACTTCCGAAGCATGCATATGACAAAAGTTAAATAAATGGTTGAACGGAGTATAACATAAGTTTTGTTTATAGTGACCCTACCGATCCCTAGGGTATACGAGAAGGGCACTATAACTTGTGCAAAGAAGCCTGCACAGGGACCTTGTCAGTTAGGTCCTGACCCCACATCATCACCCCGTTTAGACAAACTTCATCCGGTTCTCAAAAGGCCTTGGATATATCTACTAACAGTAAACTCCTGACGGCTAATAACTTGATTGTCTATGGTATTACTTTTTGCATTTAATTTTGATTTGATAAGGGCGAAAGTCGTACGTGTCGTTAATTTGATCTTTCGTTCTTTTTATTATATCCACGCATTGTTTGAGAAAGCATTGTACATATAATATATACTCCGGCAGGAAGGGAGATTGCCTTACCCGTTTAAGCCTTCACCGCCCTCTGTACAACGTACTGTAAATTTTTAAGGGTTGGACGCATTAACATCAAGCGAGTCGGTTACTACCCCATCCTAAACCTACGATTAATTTTCTTAACATATGATATTGCACACAAAATCAACATAACTACACAATTTAATTTTAATAATGTCAAATAGAAAAGCAATAAGTACATCAGCCAGAATTTAAAACATAATTTGGAAGACATAGACAAATTCCTCTGACGTATACGACGTGTTCCAGTGCCGCCATCTTGTTTGTGACATTTCAAAAAAGGAACTAACGTTGTCGTGTCGGTTATTTACAGTCGGATTTTTATAGACAATAAACGTTTTTTTTTTTTAATTTATTTCATGACTTTGGAACCAAGTACTTCAATCTAAATATTATTAAAAATAAATTGTATTGCCAGTTTATGATTGAATAAATAATGCTGCCTTATTACTCTCAGGGCTATAGAATTAAACGACTTTTCTGAATTAGCAGACCATGTGGGAAGTGGGTGGAACATAATCCCATCCAAAAATTGGAATCCAAGCTGAGGTAGTATCAAAAGTTATCGAGTCATTTCGTTGGTAGAACTTTAAATCTCTCTCTGGAAATATTGCCATTTTACAGATGTGGCCTTATTAGATAATTACATTACAACAAGGCTGCGATATAATATGGCAACATTATTTTTTAAAGTGACGTTACAAGCTGTCAGTTATTACGTATTTGTCTTATTTAAAAATCCGACTATATGTTTTCATTGAAGATAATGTATAATCACGTGGGTTAAAAAACATTCGTCATGGCGGTGTCTTGGTTGAGTGAATAGGAATGCATAACATGTCATGTATACATATAGGGTGTAATTGGTGTCCAATTAAATAATCGCAAAGTAAAATTAAAAATATCGCTTTTGTTATTAGCAAGTCGCGTGGTGGCCTAATGGTTTGACCAACCGCCTTTCAAGTAGAGGGCCGTGGGTCCGAATCCAGGCTTGTGCCATGAGATTTTCGGTGAAGGAGAACACCGTGAGAAAGTCGAAGTAGGTTCACAATTCTTCGTAAAACGTTACTTTCTTGTATATGTGGCTAGTGGTACATGTGAATGTTTTTATCATAATTAAACCTTATTATGATTATTAATAGAAAGATCGAACGCATAGAAAAACTTTTCGAAGCTATGGGACTTGAATCCATGACCTTACTGCTTACCAACTGAGCTTCCGGTCAAGTTAGAGTTGTCGAAACTCTACTATGTGTTTTTGTTAAAGAGTTTTATATTGGATTTTTCGGCATTCTGAGCCGTTAGTGACATCTAGTGAGAGATTTTAGAACCTTCGCAGCCAGCACCCTTGCAAAGGCTTCAACTGCCGTAGATGTCGCTTTTTGATCATATAGCCTACATTTGACGGAGAAGGTTCTAAAATCTCTCACTAGACGTCACTAGTGTTTCAGAATGCCGTCATTGTTTCCGGTTTCCATACCACAATTGTTTTAGTTACTTTGAAATCAAAGCAACGCATGTGGTGTTGTCTAATATCTTATACATTTATATTTTGTAGGAGCCCATATACGGCCCCTGCTGAATACGGGTATAATCTAAGAACATTAACAAATATAATAGTAGCTTATACTCTTATAAAATCATATAAGTTTTTGGCACACCCCTTACACCCTACACATTATTCCACAAAACAAACCCTTTCTCTTACAATTCATCTTTTAGCTCTTGCTCTTCTTCAGCTGGTATGTCTTCCGAGTCGTCTTCGTCGTCGGCCAGGTCCGGCATCATTTGCTGCGCAGGCGGCGCAAAATTGCCAAACCCGTATGGATCGGGACCGTGAACCTGTTACAACCACAGAACAATAAATACAGTAGAAGTGCTTAGTTTGTGTGGAACGTGTGCCAACAGTACGTGAGGTTCGGCAAACTTGAGCTCCGTTCGCCATTTTCGCTTTGTACCTTATGGTCGTGTTAATTATCTCGCCCAAATCTATGGTGGTGTTTCGTATCATCATGCATCATATCAACCAGAAGACGTCCACTGCTGAACTGCCTCCCCCAAAGATTTCCAGACTAGTCGATGGGACGCGGCGTGCATCCATCGATTACCCGCCGCCTTTACCAGGTCATCTGTCCATCTATTAGGGGGCCGTTCCACTGAAAGCGTTCCAGTTCGTGGTCCCCATTCGAGAACCTTTCTGGCCCAATGGCCATCAATTGTACGAGCTATGTGCCCTGCCCACTGCTACTTCCAACTTGCTAATCCTTTGAACTATGTCGGTGACTTTCGTTCTTCTACGGATCTCCTCATTTCTGATTCGATCACGTAGAGAAATGCCGAGCATTGCTCGCTCTATTGAGTGATTTTGAGCTGTTTTTATGAGGCCCATAGTAAGTGACCACGTCTTAGAGCCGTAGCTCATCACTGGCAATACGCATTGCTCAAAGACTTTTGTCGTCAAGGACTGCGGTATTGCGGACGAGAAGACGTCTCAGAGCTTCCCGAAAGCTGCCCAACCGAGTCGGACTCGACGTATCATCATTAAGTCTTATTTATTTAATTTCAATAAACTTTTTGGTTATCGTAATAGATTTTTTGTTACAAGAAACGAAAGTAAACATTATACCGCTGCAATATGATCGCTTTCTTTTTGGAGAACTAAGTAAACATCTCGAATTCGTCATCGTTCAGCTTTTGATCACTAGCTTAGGATGATTTCTTTTCCTTAATCTAGAATCGAACCTGAGACCTCAAATTCAAACAATCTTTATTTCATATGCAACCAAATTATACTAGAAATCATCACAATGATTTAACTCTAGGTACTACTTATAACCAAAATTTGAAAGTTACAAATGGCGGATTTCTTTAGTGTTGTACCGTAATCTACCGATAAGTCATTATCGACATGCAAATGTATCGCTTGAATGTTGAAACGGTTTTTTTTTTGTTTCTTTAGTTTACTGTAACCAAAGTATGCCTAAACAAACACAAGTCTAATAATTTAATCTCGAGTGGTATATTATTAGGAAATGAAACTATTTTTCCGGATTTAAATCGCGTATATTTGTTTTTTCAAACAAACCGACGTTTCGGGCCCTCCTTTACAGGTCCCATGGTCACGGTTGACTGACAGTCGGAAAAATAGTTTCATTTCCTATTTGTAACAATCGCGAAAACCTAAGAACTTGGTATATTATTATTAAACCGGACGATGGCAAGGCAAGGCAAATAGGCTATCTATACGTTGGTATTGGCCTTTACCCGGCAACGTTGGACTAACATGTCATTATATTGCAGGCTTTAAAAAAATAGCCATTTTTAATAGTTAAGAGTTGTCATTGGGAAAAATCAGAAACGAGTGAGTAATTTTGTTTTCAGGAACTGAGAATAACTAGTAAATGAGTCTTGTTTAATCTAAATTGAACATAAAATTATTTACCAATAAACCTAATGATGAAATAGAATTGTCATGTAATCTAGTTACATTCAAAGTTCTGTTAAAATTTGACTCTTCAAAATGAAACGAACAAATGAAGATGGTCTTTCATCCAACGTTATATTGTTTCACGTTCTTGGAAATTCGTAAATGGCATTGGATTACTCATATTTAAGTATACTATAATTGTATTATTTGTCCGTGAATTTTCCTAAAATATATAAATAAATAAATAAAATAAAGTCACTTGGTTTCATAAAAAAAAGTTACACCAGAGTTTATTATGCATTCTTCTCAGGGGAATCTGCCTTACGAATGAGTAGTAGAGTTTAATCAAAATGACGGTTTCAAATGTAATTTACTTACTTAGGAAACAAAGATTATTTTTACATTCTGACATACCTTGACATATTCAGCTTCCATCTCCGGGGTCCATGTAGTGTCCTCTTCTGTAGGCAGCATCCATTCCTCGCAGTATTGTGTATGTTTAAAACAAATCTGAAATACAACAAGTTTTTTGAGTAAATTTTTTACTTCTGACGCAAATATGTTGGCTACGACGCGGTGATATGTTGGCCAGAAGATTTTGCATGCTGTTCAGATCAGGTCCAAGTAACGCTCTTTAAGGCGTACTGTCAAAACGGCAGATCTGTCGTCCACTAACTAAAACGCGGTTAAGTGGCAAATGATCAAATATCCGTTTCAAATAGATAAAAATAGAGCACAAAATTCTCTTTTATAAATAGTTAAAATTAGTTAACGTATTTGACTTATCGGAACGTACCCGCACGATCCATAGCTGAAATATTATGAAACAATTTTAATATTCTAAAACTGGGTTATGACTTTTTTATGATATCTCCAAAAATATTTTGTCACTTAGCCCCGTTTTAGTTTAAACCACATTTGTGTTGCAAAAACGGGCGATCCGTACCGTTTAGCGTTCAAGTTCTCGGGTTTATTTCAGAGAAAAGTTTAAGGAGGCTGGTATATTGACTGTGGCATCACAATACACTTACTCAAATATATTGTATGCCCGTAAAAATATACATAATTTCATTAAGAAAGAAGATATCCATAATATTAAACTTAGTTCTAAAGTCCGGAGCACATATTAAGGTTATCATTTCCTAAGTTTAAAACTTACATTAAAAGAATTTTAATTCAAAAGTCATACATATTACAAAATAGAAGACTACGTGTTAGTTCAAGATGTATGGAAGAACGACATGAGTCCAGATTCCACAAAAATTAGATTCAAAGTGTATTTATTCCATAGCATAAGTTTATTTGGAAAGAGCAATCCCTAGAGTTTCTTGCTGAGTTCTTCTCGGGGAGGTCAGCGCAGTGAACGAGCAGTAGCTTAAAAAATTTCGTTTTCAAGTTACTTTGAAACGCTTTATTACGTGTAGCATGTGGGTTAACTGTACCAAGCAAGCATACAATGCCATCCGCGTTCAATATGAGCCATGTTTAATTGCCAAGATATTGTAGTGCATTTTCAAATGTTTTTGTTAGCATGTACGGACGGGTTTGCTGCTGTGCATAGAAAGAGGGTTTCTTCTCTTAGAAAGAGAGTGCTAGACAGTACGTGAGGCGCACTATAAGTTTCCGGAATGAATAAGAAAAAAATACTATACATGGTTAGATATGGATTTATTGTTTCCCAAAATATTCTTCGTTAGCGTTAATGCACTTTTTCATACGAATGAACCAATTTTGAAAACATTTATGCCACTCCACCGTGACAATCTCTGAAACATATTTTTCATACTCTTCGACAGCCTCTTTAGGTGATGAAAATCGTTGACCGCGTAGCTGGTTCTTAAGTTTTGGAAATAAATAAAAGTCACAAGGTGCTAGGTCGGCACTGTACGCGGGATGGCTCATATGGTGAACGATCTTCACCTTCAAAAATTCATTTGTCTGTCTGGCCGTGTGAGAACTGGCATTATCGTGGTGCAAGATAAAACGGCGTTTACGGATATTTTTACGGAGTTTGTCAATAACTTCCGGCAAACAAATGGGCGTATACCAATCATTATTCACGGTACAACGATTCTCCAAAGCAACAGTAGCCACGTGTCCAGTTTTATTAAAAAAAAGAAGTAATCATCCGCTTAGAGGCCTTTTGCACGCGCGCCACTTTGGGTGGTTTCGGCTCATCTCGAAAGACCCATACGCTCGATTGCTGCTTTGTTTTGGGATCGTAACTATAGTTCCACACCAAATTTGACGGTCCTTCGTTGAATCTGATAAGCATGGCATTGCACCAAGTGACGCGATCCGTTTTTTGGGCCTCAGTCAAAGTGTGGGAGTTGGGATCCACCGAGAGCACAGCTTTTTCACACCCAAATGTTTGTATAGTATTGATTGTTTTTGACTCATGCCTATGCCTAAAGATGTCCGAATCTCATGGTATGTCACATGCCTTTCTGTTTTGATCATACGGTGCACAGCAATGTTTTTTTTGTTCACAGCAGTGGACGGGCGACCATCACGAAATTCGTCAGTGAGATTCACACGACCGCATTTGAATTCTGCAAACCAGCTAAAAATAGTCGTCTTGCATGGTGCTTCGTCGCCAATAGCAGTTTGAAGCCGAGCGAAGCTCTGCTGAGCAGTTAAATTACACTTAAAGTCGTAGAAAATCATACTACGAAAATTTTCATGAATTAAATCCATGGTGATGTAAACAACCAATTTCTAAAATGACGCCAGAATGTAAAAACAAGTGACAGTCAGGTAAAATAAACTGTATTCTACAGCCAAAGAGTTCCATTTTCAAATGTTGTAATTACTTTTTAAATATTGTTTATGTAAGTGGCCAGTTCCGGAAACTTATTGTGCGCCCTTTGTATTAATAGCTTTGTGGCTGCTGTAGTTCACTGTTGCGACTCGTCTATACTGCGACATTGGATCTCAGTTATTAAAAGTATTAGATAATCGTATTTGTTTAATGTAATAATTTGTTAATTATATTTCATTCTAATTCAAAATTTTTGTCATTCTATGGATTTGTTATGTCTGAAATAAATGTTTATTATTATTCTTCTTTTTCTTAGTCGTTATAGTGCAAACGCTCAGACAAATCTTTCATTTACATTACATTCCTTGTACAACCCCAGCATTCGGTTCCGCATAACTGCACATGGCGGGCAACGTTATTGTCACCTCTCTGAGCGCGTTACTAGGTTCCTTTTTCCTCGTAGTGAGTGCCTGGTGTCATTAGTCAGATTTAGTAGAGTATTATAGCGCAGGTATTTTTGATTTTGTATGAGAGTTATGTATCTGTTAACGATATTGCGTATTATACAAAATACCAAGTACATTTAAATTTAACTGCCTCAGTGGCCGAACGGTTACCAAGCTGGTCTGACACGTAGAGGTCCCGGGTTGGATTCGCGGGCTGAGAGAAATATTTGTATGGTCTACAGTTATTTCTCTCGTGAGTTTGGGTGTAATTTGTAGTTAAAAAAAACATTGAGCACATTACCTATATCAGCTTCATTATAATTTAACAAAAAAAAAAACATCTTACCTCTCTTTCAGCATCAGGCATGATGTCGTCGTGAGGTCTGTTCTTGTATAAGTCCGTGATCTCATCTTCATTTGCTTCAAACATACGTTCGCACTGAAATAATAATTTCCATAATTAAATTTTATTTTAAGTAATACTTCCAGTTTTAAAGGTGTAGGGTGCTGCACGGGGTGTTTTCCTACAGCATTGTTATTGCAAAATTGCCGTTGGAATGCTCCCGGAGAGTAATTTGATGTTGTCGACGCAACAGCTCAAAAGCAAAACAAGTATTCCACCTGGAAGGTCAGCTTTGCGTCTCAGATATAAATACAATTTATATTGACGACCTTGACGACCTCTAACCTAATGGTTTACATTTTTTTAACAATATTATTTGACGGGACGAACAAGTCGTGTGTCTGGTAGTAAGCTACACCCATGTCCATAACATTTGCAGTTCTACTCAGAGCTTTAAATCGCAAAGATCTGAGGGGTGTTGCCACTGCGCCTGTCACTCTGAGACATAAATTGAGAAGTCCCATGTGCCTGTAATTTCACCAGCACCTCTAGATGTAAAGGTTCCGGGTTCGATTCTTTGCAGGACCGGTTTGGAAATGAACTTCTCTAAATTGATTCTGGTCTGGGTGTTCTGGAAAGTGCCCCAGAGTGAAGACCAGGAAATTGGTGTGGTTGCCTGGCACATTATTATTATATTATTCATCATATCGGCCGAAAGAGGTCCACTGCTGTACACAGGCCTCCCACAAAGATCCATCGGTTGCCCGCCGCCCTTACCAGGTCATCCATCCATCTAGTATATGTCAATGAAGATTATGGTGATAACATCGAGTATATAACCAGAAATGGAAACGAAATAAAGTCCATCCATCCTTGGCAACCCATCAAGGAAATGAGGCTTATATCACTTTTAAATATCTACTCTCGTTTGAGCTGAAATCACAAATTAGAAAACTGCAATAGTACAGCGCCAACAACTGACCTCAGTACACCTCTGTATATTCCAAAAATATTCTGTATTTATTGTAATAAAGATAACATCTCTAACTATGGGAGGCTGTTCTGTTCAGTGGTGTGGGAAAAACAGCAAAACATTACAAAACAAACGGAATCACATTTCACCCGCAATTAAATATTAAATATGTAATTTTTCAATTGTATTATAGCAAAGCTCTAGTTATCGATCTGGTCGATTTGAAGTGAAACAATTGACGACACCCATCAATTGTTTCGAATTCGGGCTGGCCAATCGGAGCGCAGTTGTCACCATAATGATTTGGCAGAATACTTTTCAAACAAACTAAATGACATTTCGTCTCTATTTCTGATTATATACTCGATGAGCGATAATTATGAATGAGTTATCACTTCAAACCCTGGCATAAACTCATTTTGTGGTTTTTTTTTAAAATAGGTCACTTGTATTGTAAAGATGTGATGTGTTCATGTATGTACTCACATAATACTCCAAGCTCTTATTCAAGTCATCATCAGTGACGAATTTGGTCTTGGAAAACTCGACGTTCATCTTGCCATCTTCCATTATCAGTTGCATGATGGCGAGTTTCCCAGTTGCTTTGTAATACACACGTACGTAGTCGTCCATTTTCTTGCCTGAAAATCAAATGGTTACGTGCTCAGATATTTTATTTTACCTAAGTTGTAACTATTGCAATTTCATATCCTTTTATATTTATTTTTCATAATACCATGGACGTGACGAACAAGTCGTGCACATGCTGGCAAGCTACATGCCTATCCATAGGTAACCTATCACAAACTCGAATTATTTTTTCCGAAAAAATGTTCGTTCGAATTTTCATTACCTGCCGTGACAGCCACCTTGTCGTTTACACAATAGAAACGTTTGAGCCTGCGATTATATGTCGCCACATTTCTATTGTGACGGTTCATTTATCGTCTGACGACTGTCCATCCAGCTCTTCCCATTGTCTCGACGGTCTATCGTCGTAACGTGAAAAAAGTCGTGTACGACAGTTAATCATGATGTACTATATGTGAACAACTTCATTTAAACATACAAGACACGACACTTTACTGCACGACAATCTGTCGTCATGACATAATGGGAACGCGCCCTAAGGGTGTTAAAGTAGGGGACATATTCAGTTAGCAAATAGATATAATACCACGAACTTTTGAACTCGGTTTAAAAAAAAAATTATTTGTTTGTGATTCGATTTGTGGATCAATTGTATAGTGAAATAAACTAACAGATGTCATCAATCATCTCCGAGATGTAGACTGCTGATCGATGGGCTGGAACCTTGTCCTGCAGCGTGTTGCCACTGGCATCCATCCTGAAGTTACCCACCTGAAAGTCAATAGGGATACGTATGCAAAACTTAGTTAATTGCCACAGCCAATGAACCAATCTTGAAAAGACCATAGGGAAATGAACTTGTCTAAATTGTTTCTGGTTAAGATGGAGCAGAGGAAAAATTCCCAATCTTCGATTTGATTTTAGAGTGGTATATCCACTTTAAAGTTAAAAATAAAATATTGTATGAGTATCTACACGATATATTCAAGCATAGACATTAATCAGAAACATAAAACAATAAAGTTTCCTCGATAATTTACCGCTAATTTTCACATTTTTTCGATTTATCCTCGAAATGCTACAGGTTATTAGGACAAAAATTAGATAATTAATTATATTTATGCATGATCGACAACTGTAACTACGGATTTTTTTTGAATCCCTTTAGTTTTAGAGTTATTCCGGTAAAACGAATTTGGTACTTTAATGCGCAAAATTCTGTCGCATGTCACGCGAACTTCAGGCATATATTTGTTTCACAAATTTGGGCGGAGCCAACGTCATAACTTTTTTGGCATGCTCCCTCTTAAGAGTATTGCTCTGATTACCCTTACACATGTTTAAAAAGAAATTATTTGGCTTGTTACGTGATCTGTGTATATATGATATCAAAGATTAAAGTGAAAAGAAATTGGCACAACCACGTTTATAAGAACAACTGTTTCAATATATTTATAAGAATTTTTTAATAATTTATCAAGGACTTCTTTTTAAATCACAATTGACAAAATGGCTTTTGACACATTGCTTTTAAAGTAATAAAGAATATTTAGAAGTTACAAATACCGATTGATATTAATTCGAAATGCAAATTGCTTTGTAATTAGAGAGACTAATGTGAAATACCATTAACATTTACACACCTGCGTGCAGGTTGAATATAATGTACCTAATTTAATAAGATCTGTATAAATACCGTATTCTGGCCAATAAACTTATGCTATTCTATTTTATTGCTCTGAGCTCATAGTACAGGAAACTTCTTTGTTTGAGATCCGTTAATTACTATTGAGATTTATTATAAACTATTAGGTAGTACTTAAAGATCAGGGCTTGTACTTAATTGGTACATTTCAGCCTTATGTTAGTCACCAGGAATGTACCAATATGGACTTCAAACTTATAAAACTATAAAATAGTTAGCCTATATATCAAATATGGGCAGAGAGAAAAATAGAGAGTGTAGATTGTGCCACGAGGCGGATGAAACTCATGTGCATGTCCTCACCGAATGCAGTACCCTGATGGGTGTACAAAGTTCTACAAATGGAAAGCATAGGCCACAACCAGAAGACATAAAAAGTTTCAGAGCCAGGAAAGTCAGTTCAGATTGGCATCTTTACACATACCATTAAATTGCTCTGCAGATATGTAGAATAGAATAGAAGTAGCTACAGCTCCACCAGCAAAAAGAAGATTGAGTAGTGAAGTTTAGAGTTAACACTATGGGAAGTGATTGTGCCAACAGTTCCAGTACCTATCTGAAAATAAGGAGCATGTTCTACATGCCCCTGGGGCAGTTCACCTAAGACCTTTTGAGAGCTGCATCTAGTCTGGGCCTGACTGATAAGGTGTGCTTGCTTCTACAGATTATACTATCCTATTGGTATACTCCGGTTAAGGAGGGTCGGCAGGGAGGGTCACTATAAACAAAACTTATGTAAAATAATATACAGGAGTATCTTTTTTAATCATAGTGTGATTGTGTTCCAGTCAGAACTTTATATTGACAGTCGACAAGTCATATGTGTATAGTCTCACCTGCACCCCTCCCCTCCATGGTCAAATTATTGCTTGGAAGCAGAAATAAGTAATGTGACAGTACTTCCCTAGACAAACACTTTCGCAAGTAACTCTACTACTACTGTGCCATTTCAAATCCTTAAAAGACAGTTTTGAGACCTAGAAGTATACAAATGTTAAGTCTTATTATGTGTGTGTTCATTTATTGGCACAGTCCGAACGAATGGAAATAGAAAATTTTTAACATCTCATTAACTCCGTTAGTTTTATGGACAAAGTCAACATACGGTATACAACGGAATGTACAATAATCTATGCAAACTTAAGCCATAAAAATGGTGAAATGTTAAAACACATATACTACTATAGCACCTTTGTACTTGAGTATTTTACTATAAGCCACTTAGCTGAAATTATAACAATTTATTCGTATGGCTCATAATGTGCACACGTGAGAGCCTTTTAATGATTTAAAAAATATATACTTATATTGTGATTTTAAAAAAGGTATTAAAGTTACTCACATCAACTTTTTTCCACTTATCTATCTTCTTTATCGCTCTGTTAAGCTCCTCGAAGGTCTGCCGGCATACTGGAATTAAATATAACACCATAATTTCACATTAAATCGTCGAAAAATAACATAAAACCTATTAAAATATACACACCTAAACATCTTAAGTTTTGTGGATCGATTCTCGCCGAAACTAAAGCCAGTAAAAGAGCAAAAATTAGGACGATAACGTTGAACTGCATTTTTATTAATTTGTTTTGCCACTAATGCTAGCCAGAAATGTATAGTTTCAGAGAAAAATTAATAAAAATGCCTTGAAAATTACTCGACGTGTACCAAAGTTTATCTTTTCTGTCAAATACACGAACCTATTTCTGATTGGTCGACAGCAAATCAATTTTAAAGACAAATAGATCGTTGATTGGGTCGTTCGAATTTATATTATACAACTATAGAAAGTGGGCACTATATTACTCGATTGATTGATAAATTAACGTAGCTTTTGGTTTTAGTCGTAGTTTATATGGTACCAAAAAGTTTGATCACGTTCATATAATGCCCTTGATAAGCATGCAAGCTAGCATCTTGGCTAGCATTGACCTTATTTCGGATACTTTATTTATTTTATTTTCATGTCAAGTTTTTGTATTGTGATTTTCTAACCTGTACAACGAACCGTACAGAAAAAAAAATATAATTAAAAATAGCTCTTTATGAACTTCATGCCTAAATTTTGTAATGATCTTTATATTATATATTTTTTATTTCATTACTTTTTACATTTTTTTAATGTTACATACATACACAATATCGTAAGAAATAACGAAAGTAAAACAAACTCTTCTCTCTTTGTGCAAAAAAGTACATCAATGAACACGCCTCTTTACTACATGTAAATTAACAACATACATTGATATGTAGATGTGTGCGTGCACCAAAGGAAAATGGAAATTGTCAAGCTAAATACCTTTGTACATATTTTAAAGGAAAACAACCCATTTCATACGTTATTTGCAGTCATTAAAACATTTTATTATTTACAAGTTAATATTGTAAAGTGTAAACGTTATGTAAGCTGGTGTATAATTAATAAGAGTTTGCCCTTTCGTCTCCCTCACTCACCCATTCTCCGGTTTTGCGCCCACCGCGCCCCCCTCCTATCAACGGACCCAAACTAAACCAACAGTTCGCATTCAGTCAGCCAGCGCGTAGGACGTTTGCTCATCGGAATGTATAATTTTTTTGTGCATATCAAATCGTTTAAAATCTTGAAAATACCATAGAATTCTTGTTTATCTTGTCGAGAAGTGTCTGTTCCGTGAAAATTGTGAAGAACAAGGCAGATTTCAAGTAAAATTCAGGTAAGTGACTGCATGACAGATTGCGTCTTTTCCTATTACGAGCTTTATTATCAACGTAATTTTGTTGATTTCGATTGCTTTTCTTGTGTAAAGTAGTACAGTAGGTCCCGAAAATCAATCTGCCCTTACCATATTGTCTTTACGATTTCCACATACTTAGGCTTTTCTCGCAAGCTGTTCGTTTAAAATCACAATATCCTTGGATTTCTCGTTGCAATCATGTATAAATCCTTATCAAAACATGTCGTGGCGAGTGCGCTCGAAAAATGTTAATTTCATAATGTTGACCGCGCGCTCTCTACGGCAATCGTGCGACTTGGCAACGCTGGCCATTCAATCACTGGTTAAAAAAAAGTAGATTTTGTAACAAAAATGTGTTATTTTCCTTGCACCGGCATCACCCTTTGTTTTCCCGTGTGAAATCTGCCCTTTGTCCCTCGGCAGGCTGCGCTGGGCGCGCCGTGGTACAGGAATTTCGACTCTAGAAAAGTGCCATAATACATGATGTGATATACATTGGTCGTTGAGCGCGCTTCGCCGCTCGCTCGCGTCGTTTTCCAAGCCGACGCTGGTGTGCGCCGCATATCTACGTGGAGGACGGCAGTGTGCCCGTGCGGTAGTTTGTTTATAGTGTTCGCCGCTCCGATATGCACCTTGCGCCAAAGCGATACGGCGTACAGTGGTATGTAGGTCGGCGGCCTCGGTGGTGTTTGTCTATCGATCTCCGCGGTGGCCAATGGCACATGTCGGGGCAGGCCTGCGCTCTGCCTCGCCTCGGTGAAAGCCGGGCGCTCCTCCGATATACTTATACATATGACACCTACAGGAACTATCTTATCATATCACAAACGGTTCGTCCCTCGAAACTTTATTCCCGCCTTCCAAAGCCAGCTAGATGTTTTCCTATTTGAAATGTTATAGATAGCGAAGTGGCCGATAGGATCCGAGTCATGAATGTTTTGTCGAGCGTTCTGTTTGCCGACCTCCGGCGTCACGGCGCGCGGGGGGAGGAGGGAGCCAGAAATAGAAGTGTGGATTGGAAACGCGCAACGTGGCAACGTCGCGCACCCGATCGCGCTCAGTGTCGGTTCAAAATGGCGGCTGTGCGTGATCGATACCGTGGAATTTCAGTTGAAAATGTTCGATTTTGTGATGCAACTTGTGGTGGGTCGATCCGAGCGGTACCCTGGGACCTCGGGGCGTACGCTCCGCACCCGGCGCCGGCTCCCGACCCGCTCAAAGTACGTATCCCAAACCATATTGCGCCGACACTTTGTCCTCCCTACATAGGTAGCTATAGATATGCCATGCATAGCCCCGCGGTCGCCTGCAATCGCGTTCATCTAGACAGCTCGATACTTATCACTTGCATATCCACACCGCATCTATCGGGATCTCTTTACACCTGTAAACGCGCGCATAGATGATATCTGGGATGCATAGATTCGTAGGTAACTTTCTTTCAGGTTACATAATGATATTAAGTATTACAATCGACCTAACAGATGTATTTACTAGTGTCAGAGTTCAAGTAGTGTAGCGAAATTGATATTGTGAGAGCAAAAAATGATGGATCATGTCATCATCATCCGCGAGTTAGCATCTGATAAATGGAAACAAAATGGCGGATCGTAAAATTAAGACGCAGTAGCGCGCGCAACGGCAACGTCGCTTCGCGCGGTAATTGTGAACAGTCACTTGTTCGATAAGAAGTTTCAAGGCTGAGCGTTTTGTATCCTCCGTTTGTAACAATGGATAAATTTAATACTCGCGATAATTTTGTTTCATACCTTTAATAATATTGGCACGGTAATTAAGTTTAGGTGATTTGTTGGGATGTAGCACGCACACAGCTAAGTTTTTAATTGGGGTTAATACCTCTGCGTCTCGAATGTTTAACACTGTGTGCGTCTAACTCGATCCACGCACACACGTTATCATAATGTTCTATAGAAATACAGGCCTTGTATCTATATAGATCCATATACATACTAATAATATAATACAGATACACTGAGTTTACGTCATGCACGCTACGAACCTCGCCCAATTGTAAACATTGCATATTCATGAAGGATAACATTTTATGTTTTATAAACATGTGATTTTTATTTGATCCGTTTTAAAAAGGTATTGTTAGCAAATTTGCCGCCATCAGTTATCATGATAATCTATTTAACAATATCTTGGCATAAATTCATCTAATGATGTCGAGGATACATAAAAACTAAGCACCTGCTTTTGGCGGTCTTTTTGTTCTGTATGAAGTGGTCTGTATTTCTCGTCGATATCCATAGATGGCGCCGTATGTCTCATTGTTATCGCTTGCGTATTGCAACTTGATCTAAACAGTCTTCATTCTTATACAATACATACATTGTAGTTTTTGTGTACAAATCTACAGAGATAATGTTCTGCATATCTGTTTTTCATGTCGTCAAACTCTTGAAGTCTGCAGTGGTTTACACTCTATAAATTCTAAGTATGTAACAGTGTTTGTCTATTTTCAGAAACGACAGACTTGTTACTTTATGACTTGACGCGTTAAATCTTTATTTCTCAGATAAAGATGTATTGGTTTATTCCATTGAGTTGTTTTTAGTTCATAAGCTACTAGCACTAAAAGATGTCAATTATTTTCTCTTTGAAACTCCAGCTGCATTTTACAAAACTTCCAATTAAGTAAGCATTTGATTTTGTTCGCGATGAAATGAGTATCGTCCACTTGGATATGAACGAATTGATGTAGGAGCCAGTTTTACTTCTTCGTAGATGACTTACATTTCACGGTGTTTAAAAGTTAGAATTCTGAAAACAAGCTTTTGTTCTTCTCATAGTACACAGAACATTCCACTTCCACACGTAGACAGTTATCTTTATAAATACAATTTACACACTATACTCTATGTAAGTACCATTGTCCAACTTGGTACGTCAGGTTGACATTTCGAGAACTGATTCTGTTGTCCATAAATGGTAGTCGTTACAAGCAGGTTTGGTAGTTTAAAGCTTTTTCTTGTCGTAAATACCTTGTAATTTTACCTGAGGCGTTTGTTGAAGCTTTAAATTGTAGAACTTGTGAACAAAACTTTCAGCTTGTTTAGTTTTCAACAGGCGGCAGTCTTTAATGTATTTACAAACCTTTAGTTCTTGAACATGAAACAAAACGACAAAAGACACCTTTCAATTTAGCATGAATGTTTGTAACGTTGACGGTTAACAAGTTATTTGCATAGTTCGATTTAGAATTTCATTGTCTATGTTGTAATGTAAAAGTGTTGTAAAGGACGAACTGGTTAAGGAAAATAACACGAGGGAACTGTTGATAGAAATATAATTTGACGACCTCTGTGGTCGAGTGGCTTGCACGCCGGTTTTCATGGTGTCGCCATCTTTGAAAAACTTTCCTATATTGCCTCTGGTCTAAGTGTGTCTGATTGTTTCCGATTTTCATAACACAAGTGCATTAGTTACTTACTTTGGAATCAGAGCAATGTATGGGATGGTCTCTAACACTTACGTACTCCACTCCGTTGACTCAGCTATCCGAAGTGGGCCTTAGCACGAATTGGCGTCAGCGCGCCCTTTCTTGTGCCATCTCCTCCTACCTATCTGCGTGCAAGAGCGCGGAGATCTTTTTCCGCTTCGTCCCTCCATCGGCATTTGGGCCGACCAACCGCTGCTCGACCACTTGGACGTCTCATGTAGACTTTTCATCTCTATAAGCTAGCATCTTTTCAAGGGATACGATGTTGTGTTATATAATTTATAACTTATTTATTTATCAAAATACAGGTCGTATAGAAGTTACACTTCACAAGACATTTATAGTTTCATTGTCTGTCGAAACATTAGGCGTAGAGGTATAAAGATTTATCGAGTTCGAGGTTTTCGCGATTGCTACACATTGGAAATCTATTTTGTCCGGATTTATGTCGCGTATATTTGTTTTTTTTTTTTT